AATTGGCAAAAATTTTCGTTCGCTGAAGAATTTTCATGATTCCAAGAATTTGACGTCATTTCCAAAAACTACTGAAATTTTAATTTTTTTCGAATTGTGTACTTACCTTTTTTACTTACCTTTTTTATACTTATCTTTTTAGGTATTACATTTTCGAAAAGAACATTTTTTTTAGCATTTTACTTAATATTAATGATGAAATTTAACATATTTAGCTATAATATACTTACCTTTTATAAACTTATAAATGTTTTCTAAGATGGTTATTTTATTAGGAAGAGGGAAATAAAGAGGAAATAAAGGGAAGAAATGAAAAAAAATAGAAAATATGTGTACAATATATATTTATTAAATATTAAAATTATCTTACATATATTTTACATACTTAAAAAACTATAATATAATACAATTATATTATACTTATATGAATTAACATTACATTATAAACTTTTATATTGTATATTACATTACATATTGCATATTGCATATGTTGAAGGAGTTTCGGATTAAATATTGTCGTGGGGCTTCCAGTAAATGTTGTTGATGAAGAAGTCTGGTTAAAAGTAATATTGCCGGTCGATCTTATTCTCTCAGTGGTTGAATTTGTTCTGTTGCTCATTCTGTTCAATCGTGTCGTGGCAGCATTCTTGATTGGCAATTTTTGTCTTTTTGAAAAACCAATCAAGGAATACGTCAATGGTCATATCCGTTCCTCATTGTCGTTCTTGTTGGAAGAGATGGGGTGATCTGTGGAATGAAACCCGCGAGATCCTGAGGCCGTCTTGCAGATAAGGAATCTGTAATCAAAAAAATTATTACAAATTATTTTTCAATTACGCTTTGGAACTCTGGATTTATAATGTATCTGTAACTATGGAATGTAGAAAATGAGAAATCTTGGAATATCTGGTTTAAAAATTAAAAACTTTTGCTTCAAAATAGCCTTATGTGCTTGTGTTATAAATCAATCCTCATGTTCGTTAAAGTTCCAAGATTTGGAACATGCTGCTACCTCACAACAACATATTATCTATTAATTTTACAATATATATTATATGATTAATGTGAAATTTATTGCCGAAATTGCAAAAATTTTCTTTTATTTCGAATCTTATCTTGTAATGAAAATATGAATTACATTTTCTGATATTATTTTTGTTATATATAAAAAAAAAAATATCAAAATATATATGCAATATTTTAAGGAAAATATTTGAATAAATATTTATCTGAAATTTATAATTTTTATTGGATTTTATTCTTGACTTGGAACTCGATATAAACTTAAATTTGAGCATGTGAACTGTACATAATATGTTCGAATTAGACGTGGCAGTAGCTAGTTTATGTGTAATAAGCTATATGACTCAGATACCGGCAATATCGTAGGTAACTGCAGCGCAATGGATCATGAAGTATAGACAAGTTTAGATAAGATTATTTTGAGTACATTAAAGTCTTAATTATTTTCAACGATACGTTGGAGTGTGGTTCAGTGAATGGCTGCTAACATGTCTGGCTTTGATGAAAATCCTTTTGGGGAACCGAATATCAATGATCCATTTTCGGTAAGTATTTCTATAGCGGCTAGATCTAAAGAATACATTGCATCTTGTTCAATATTGTATATAAAATTGCAAATGGAAATAGAATAGAGTGTATAATAAATCATTATTATTATTTTTTTCCAATGATTATAAGTAAAGATTTTTTTATTATGCCTTGATATCAGTATATTAATTCCTTAATATTTGTAAATTTTGTGTTTTTTTCATATATGTTTTTTTATTTATATTAATGATGATTTTTAATATTTTTTTGAATGTAAAAAATTTATTTTGTTAATTTTTGTAAACAGAACAATATTGCATCAATTTTACATTGAAAGAGATATGTCAATAAAAGAATTTCTTGAATATTAACTCTATATATAGATGTCTTCTATAAATATATGTTCTTTAAATATAGCATATTTAATTTTTTTTGTGAGGTTGATTATAATATAGTCGAAATGATTTTTTTTTTAATTAGGATCCTGCAATAAGGAGGGCTGTATCTTCTACTCCAGCTAATAGAGGATTAGAAGATTACAATCCTTTTGCAGAACAAGGTTCACAAGGGACAGCACAAGTCAGAGGTGCTTCAAATCCTCCAATCTATGGAGGTCTTGGAGCAACACAGCAACCAGCTACACTTCAGCCTTCGAACCAAGAACCTCCAGCAACTAACTATGCTCGTACTCCACAACAAACAGTGAATACAGCACTTGGCAGCACAATATCCCCAACTTCAGATGTAAATATATATATATAACATATTTCATAATATTTTGTGTTAGATTTTAATTTTATATTATATTCTTTTTGAACAATTATTGTATTTTAGCAAAGATCAGAGTCAGAATGGAAAACAAGAACAGAGGAAGATATGAGGAACACACCATATTATCGTAAGTGCAATAAACAAAAAATAGATACATAATATTACTTTCATTATTAAATAACAATTAAAAATGTTTAATTGTTATAGCAAAAAGAAACAATTGGCCACCTTTACCTGATAAGTGTTGCTTTCAACCTTGCTTCTATCAAGATATTGATGTAGAAATTCATACAGACTTTCAGAAGATAGTCAGACAGTTATATCGTCTATGGATGTGTAAGTTGAATGTATTTTAATTAATTTTAATCCATAAAATATAGTTTTATTGTAACTATATAATATAATTTCTCATGTTAAGTTTTCAATAATCATTTTAAATTACAGTTCATGGTTGTGTTTTAATACTTAATATTATCGGAGGATTCATCTTACTTTTATGCAATGGAGGATTTTCAACATTTGGTCTTGGAATATTATATCTAATATTATTTACACCATTCTCATTTTTATGCTGGTTTAGACCAGCATACAAAGCTTTCAAGTGTGTATTGACTAAATATCAATATTTCAAAATTTGGACAATTATTAAATAATTTTTTTTCTTTCAGAAATGATAGCTCTTTTAACTTCATGGTATTTTTCTTTGTCTTCTTCTTTCAATTAATCGTCACAGCAATTCAAGCTATAGGCATTCCTGGCTCAGGAACTTGGTAATATTTTTTTTTTTTTGAAACACAAATTTATGCTTACAATCATATTTTAATTCTTTTACTTTTCTATGATTACAGCGGCATTATAGTTGCTTTCACGATGTTTGATAACACAGCTAAAGGAATATTTGTTGGGTTCTTACTACTCCTTATTGCCCTTTGTTTTGTTCTCGCTGCGTTCGGTGATCTCTTATTATTAACCAAGGTATAGCGTAAAATTTTTGTAATTTTTAAAAATAACTTTTATAAATAATAAACAATCAAAAAAAAAATATATATGTATAAATATATATGTGTGTATGTGTGTATTACAGATTCATCGCATATATCGCTCGTCGGATGCAAGCGTTTCGAAAGCACAACAAGAATTCGCGACGACTTTTTTACGCAATGAACATGTACAAAATGCAGCAAGTAGTGTTGCTGCCAATGCTGTACGCGCCCAAATGGCTAACGCTGCTAATCAACCACGCTATTAAAGTGATTCCGTCACAACCCAGGATTTATTCTTCAGGTATTCTGACGTTTTATCGCTCAGTAAATCGATGATAGATCATGTTAGTGCATCTAATGTGCATAATGGAACTCGAAATTATAATGTTCCATAGAAAATTCTATTCTTGCATTGAAAAAAATTATAATATTCTACTCACGCGTAGAAATGATTTTTTCTCTTGGTGCATTTAAAGTTGTATTTGTGCATGATTTTTATGAGAAAAAATTATCATCATTTTTCAGCAAATTTATTATTCACGAATTTAATTCTAACAGATGTTTAACGATTTATTGTTATCCATTTCTTTTTCTCATAACAGTATTTTAAATCTGATTAACACACAGTATTGTGTACGTATGTATGTGTCCTTTGTACTATCTAACATACAGCGTATATATCATTTTTCGTTTGTATTAATTAAAAATGAATCACAAAATAATTTACCACATAATAGAGAAACAAACTATCAATAATCATATCACTAATTCTTATATTATTGCTTCTATATTATACATCAATATATTTGCTAGCTTTTATATTTTAGTGGCATCCTTAATCATGATGTTGTAATCATGTATGGCTTTATATAAACGGAAAATATTCGGTTTTGTTAAAAATCAAAATAACTTAATAATATGTAGAAATATTGTGTCCAGGAGTTTGATTTTTTGTTGTTTTATAAAATGTTAATTTAATTATTAATTGTATGGAAATCGGGCATTTTTTTGCCTATCTTAATAACGTCCTATACACTCCTTACAACGTGTAATATATGGCCTTTCTTTATTAAATATCTTGTTACTTAGGTCCTTAAAATATTCTATCACTTTGTAAAGTTTAAACTATATATACATATAAATATATATATTATATATATATATATAAATATATATATATATATATATACATAACGGATATTTTGCAAAGAAAACAAAACAGATTACGTTTTACGTATGTTTAATTATTTATTAATTATCGATAAATTATTTATAGAGTACGAAAATTGGGTTATATCGTTGCTGTTACTTTATTGGGTGTATCTGAATGTCTCAATGAACTGGAAACTTTATATCAAGTAAAAATGTTCGGGAATATAGGAAAAAGAGAGGTCGAAGGATCTTTGTTATTTATTGAGACTTCAATCAAACAGATTCTGCCCTATAAATATATTTTTACATATATGACGATGTTTAAATTAATTGCAATGATTATTACACAATCTTTATTATATAGCAATGAACAATAGATTACTTCGTTTTGTATAAAAAATGAAAAATAACATAGAAATGTTGTTTAAATTTTATAAATATTCGCTGATACATTTGTACTTATGTAAGCAGCAAAGATAAAAGTGACAAATAAAAATTTAATTTACTCAAAAAAAAAAAAAAAAAAAAAANAAAAAAGAAAAAAAAGATCTTTCAATCTAATAATTAGAATAAGAAACTTCTTCAAATATTATAACAAATTTTCCAAATTCTCTAAACCAATAGTCCTCAATAGTATTTTACCTAAAATTCCAGAATTATTATCCATTGATCTTGATCCGAGATTAGATATTATTACCTTTGATTAGATATTGTTAACTTTATTGTTAACTGATAAAATTTTATTAATTACAGAGAAACGACGACAAAATAATATAAAACGTACCTTCAGATTTATATGTTGCAATCGGATCTATTGGAAATGAACAACCAAGATTAATCTCGGATGTAGATCCAGTTCCAACTAATTTTGCCACAAATATAACATCCATGATTTCTATATCCGATCTGTACATTAATCTAGCATGTCCTTCGGCTAATCTAAAGAAAATTTCTATCTATGCTAAATGTTTTAAAAACATCTTTATATATCTTTACCGAATAAGGCTGTCCAAAAGTCGAACCGTTGTTCTCTCTTCTCTCCTATTTGGATGACATCTGTGATAAAGATATGTCGCTCGAAGTATCATTTCCGCTTCCTTTGTTAATTTTGGTTGCAGGGAATGCACATATGCTAAATATTCTCGCAAAGTATCCTCTTTCCACAAACTTTCGCTTTTTAACAGTTCCATATGATTTTTCGAGTCTCTGTAAAATTAAAAATTACATCAAATTGTATCATTTGTCAAAATGTTACGAATCATCAATAACATTGATTTTTATTACGTCTTGTTCTCTTTAGTCTCGTAAGCAGCCTTTAAAATATGTTCCGAAGTCAGCCTATCCCACTCTGAATTCCTATTGTCCTTCAAAAGCAGGATTAAATCGAAACGAGATAAAAGAGGATCCCCTAAATTCGTTTCCCATTCTTCATCATCGGTGAATTGGCCACCGGATGGATTAATAGCTGCAACCACTGAACACCTTGAGTTTAACGTGCTAACTAATCCAGCTTTGGCGATTGATATTGTTTGTTGTTCCATAGCCTCATGAATGGATGTTCTGTCCTGTGAGCTCATGGTTGTGAACTCATCCACGCAACAGACGCCTCCATCTGCTAACACAAGGGCCCCAGCTTCTAGATGCCATCCTTCTGAATCCTAACGTGCATGTATATGAAGAAAATTATATATACAGATATTAATTATTAAGGACAGAAGATAGTGTGCGCGTCTACTTACTCTAACAGCGGTTGCAGTGAGTCCAGCTGCAGTCGATCCCACACCTGTCGTAAGAACCGATCTTATAGCCAAACGAGATGCTTCACGAAGCAATTGGGATTTACCAGTTCCAGGATCGCCGACCAAGAGAAGATGAGGTTCTCCACGCACTCGTGTTCCTTTTTTTTTTTTATTTATAATGACACATTGTATTTTACATAGAGAATAAAAAGATTGATAATAAAGGGAATAATTACCGCTTTCGTTACATTTTGGTACGCCACCGGCTAGAACGACAGCCAGTGCTAATTTTGCAGTGTACATTCCATAAAGCTTAAAATAATTTGTATATAAATGATTGCATTTTTTATTATTAATTTATGTCGGTGTTTTTTTTTATAATTATGTACAATAAATCTATATACCTTTGGGCAAATAGATGCAAGAATATTGTCTCTACCAAGTAAAGGATTATCGTTATATTTTTCCCAATAATTTTTAAAAACATCTCTCATTTCTTGAGAAGAAGATGTGTCGGATATTTTACGCCGCACTGTAATGCTATTACCTAACATCATGGTTGTCGCTTCTAAACGTTCGCCAGGTTCCAAGGGACCCCAAATTCTTATCACAACACCACTAAACACGTATAACATAAGATTATAATTAAAAAAGATAGTTTGTACACATATAAAAGGAGATAATTATCAATACCTAATCTCAACATGATCTCCTGGTCTACATTTATCAACTAAATCATCCAATAGAATGATTCTAAGTTCCTCGGTCAAGGATTTGTTTATATCTACCTTACACTTTTCCTAATCAAAAATATTGAAAAATTAATGAGGTGTTAACCTCAAGCGAAAGATAAGTATCGAATTAAATTGATAATATACTTGTACTCCTATTTCCTGACAATCTGAAGAATCGTCCAAATCAAAATCAGTTAAAACTTTAAGTTTTGTAGCATGACACTCTTCACAATCTGTAATATCTGCAAAAGTTTGCCTCTCCCATTCATACTAAAAAAATAGATATTGTGTTAACTATCTACTAATATAAATTACAAAATGTTTATAACTAAAATGTTCAACTAACTTTAGCCGAAGTAACATGTTTGCACTTTCTACAATAATGTCTTTGAACAGATTTTAATACTTTTGGTTGGGAGATTCTAACAATAATGCCACTCGTTGAAACAAGCTGTCCAATTTCTCCTTGATCTAATGTAACTGGCACAGCAGTAACTCTAATACGTACCTATCTCAAATATATTTTTAGAAACGCAGTTATAAAAATATTATAAATTTTAATAACAAAACGAGATCTTGGCATCACCTTCTTTTTAACAATTTGTTCCGGTTTTGCTATTTCTTCCTGAGCTTTTACCGCCGCTTCGTCGCACAATGGTAAGTAATATCTAGGATATTGCAAAATTTTTTGTGCAACGTCGGCATCATCCTCGAACAATGATACGAAACTGTAAGAAAATTCTTCGTACAATACCTCGTATTATACGAAAAAAAAAAAAAAAATAGCAAATGCAAAATACTCACTTAACGTAGATCGGATAATAACAATTGGTATCCACATTATCCAAAACTTCCTCCAATTCCATTTGGTGGTTTTTCAAAAGATACTGTTTCAACATTTCAAATGTTTATTATATGCGGAGCGCAAGAATTGAGGTTATAGGTACATCCACCATTCACGCTGTCGCACGTGCTACTGACTTCCCGCCGAAACTGTCAAAGTCACGTGCTCCCCACTCGGCATACGTTTTCATTCAGTTGCTGTTCGACCATGATAATCATACTTATCGAACCATATTATAATCGCAATTATTTATTAATTTATACCAAGAAATAATACTAATTGTATTTTATTTAGTCAATTATATTTTTTCCAGTGATAAAACATCAAAATCACTGAGTCACCGAGGAAATGTATCACACCGTGGATACATTTAGATATAAATAATTACAAATTTATGTTAAATAAATTTATGTTAAGTGAATAAAAAATATGTATAATAAATATGTAAATATATAAAATAAATCTTTATAAAAAAATTTTGCTCGTTATCATTTCATCTTAACATAGCTAGGAGACGGAAGCAATATCCATCATTCTAATAAAATATATATATATAAAATTATAATATATATAAAATTTAAATTGTCCTCCGTGGGAATATTTAACGAAATTACGTAGCGCTGATGTAGTTGTGATTCAAACGACTGAAATATAACGTTCAACGAATTCCTTTACCGTTAGCGTCGATTTAATAAAAGAGCCATATCGATTACTTGTCGTGAAACCGCATCGACAGTTCATCCATTAATCGATTTTCGCATCTTCCTATCCATCTCGTAATTCCGTTCTCGCGGTTTCGCGCGGAACCCTGCGGTAAAACTTGTCCCGCAACAGTGAAAACCTTTTCGGTGTCTACTTTTCATCGAAAAAAATCCTCGGCGTTCCATTAATCGCGCGTTTAAAACAGAAGTGTAATCCTCTAAATAAAACGTGCCTTCACAAAAACGTTCTCTTCTTCTTATTCGATATGGAATAAAATAACGATACGTATGCCTCCCGTTTCCTTTCCTCCAATCTCTTCTAATCTCTCTCTATTTTCCAAAATCTAGATTTGGAAAATACGAATTTCTATTCGACCGGAATAGAATTTCAAATAATTTTAATCACAGAAGTTCCATTCCCTGGGCACGAGCTGTTTTATCTGAAATGTGGGGATCGTTCGTTCATATTTCAAACGGTGGAGCACGCAGGTTAAACACACGACGCCTGGTATCGGTATTACGATATCATTAGTAACGATTCCCTTTACGACCTCTTCCTAAGTTATAAATTACTCGTTGGATTCGCAGTAGCCGGGGGTGTACGAATCGATGTAATTAGCGTGGTCGTATGCGTGGCGAATACGTATACGTTTCTACGTGTAATTGCCCGGTGCACGATCAAAACTTGCCTCGTCTCGAAATAGAATAACTCCCGCGGAACCTTCGAACCAACCCCCTCCCTTCTAACAACTTGTATTCGTCTTGAGAAACGCGTGCACCATTCCCATGAATCTTTTTGATTCACCGTTACCATACCACTCGAACCTTAATCTCTGTTAACGTTTTCGAAATATCGCGTTTTCGAGAACGGATGGGATGGAAATAACTTGTCTTTCGAAAAACACTTTTGCGCGTTCTCGAGTTATTTAACCGGTTCGATATTTTTTTTCCTTTTCCAAAACTTGCCCGGCCTCCCGGTTAGAGCAGTGAATTTTCTCGCCGTGAAAACGTCGCGAGACGCAAAAATTTCTCTTGTCAATAGCTCGGACAAGTGTAAATTGTCGACGTCAGGATCGTGTGTGTGTGTGTGTGTGTGTGTGCGGCGCATTTCCTGCGAGGCGTGGATTCTATGTAAGTTGTCACTGGCAGGCGAGCCATAGAAGGTTTCCAGGTGAAATTACTACAAATTGTGTATGATGTGTTGGTCGCGACGAAAAACATCTCTCACTCACGAGCCGATCGTATCGATTTGATTCTTTTTTTCTCCCTCCCCCACAAAAAAAAATAAGGAGATACAAAAGGATGAAAAGCGTCATCGCAGAATGGAAAATTGGACGATTCGTGGGATCGTGATTAATTGAAAGAGAGAGAGAGAAGAACGCGGTTTACACGACTGCACTCGGTTACGCTGTCACGCAATATTTTTCATTTGATGGTATATGTATAGTAATTAAAGCGAAGCTACGAGTATCACGCGCACTTTGCGGAAATTCTGTCGCTCGTTTAACAAGAGTACGTTTTAGTATTTAAGCGCAATGAACGTGCACGGAATGAGCTGCTAATTATTCAGAAACCTCTTAAATTCGAACCTGCCGGAACATGTAAATTCATAATCGCGTGTATAACTTTGGAAATAAACGGTGCGCGGCACGTTTTGCGTCGCCGGGAATAATTCAAAGAGACTACGTTCCCCCGCCAAGCTCGATCTTTAATCAGGAAAATTTCGTTGAATTTATCCGAGAGCTTCACGTTTCATAGCAACACACGCTTTTCGTTAAATCAGTAAATGATGTATAATCTTCGTCCGGGATTACTTTGAAATATGTTTGAATAACGAGGCTTAATGTTCAAAACCGTCCGACTAACTGAATTTACATATCACAAAGGGGGATTTAAAATGTATTAATTATTAAATTTTAAGCCGTCCACGTTCAAAATCATTATAACTTGATTTTCTCAATTCATCGTAACTTTTTCCTATCGCGTAATTTCACGATCGCGTATATATATTATAGGGGAAATAAAAAGTGGGAGAGGGGGAGGAGAAGTACGAGAGAGAGGCAAGAAAGGTAATCGCGTAAGAGGGAACATTCGAGAAAAAGAGGTCGAGGAAGAGAGGGGGTCCGGGGGTCGAACGATCTTGTCCGCCAAGGGACAAGATTCCACGTCGTCCACGAGGTCCTACGGTTTAATAATACATCCTAGGGCCGTTAATCACCCGGTGAAATATAATTTAATACCTGAGCGAGCGAGGTCCGACCACTAAAAATGACGAACGGCCAGGAAACACGCGGCTAACTCAACCATCCAGTCCCTTCAGCGCGGCGCTATAATCACCCTATATTGGTGGATGTGTGCAATAACGACAAAGGGTTGGGTATTCCTGAACGGGTCTTTCGGTGTGACCGTGTTCCCGAAAGGTGCACGAGCTGGCTGTGCATTACATTCGTCCATTACACCCCGCTCAATACCTCCAATTCGTTGGATTCCTTCGCACATAAAAGGCTACCCACACCACCCCGTTCTTCTCTTTATCCACTTTTTCTTTTCTTCCTCCCTTCCTCTCCGCAACTATATATCATCCTCTCACCATCTCCGCCATTCCTTCGTTCTTCCACACCCTTTTACCCTGTGGTGATACACGAGTTCACACACGTCGAATCAGTATCGATTGCGTTGATCTAACTACCACTTTTGATCGACGAAGTCGGAAAGTATCGTTCTTCCTTCTTTTTTTTTTTTTTTCATTATTAGCCGAAGGATCGTATCGACGAACCTAGTCATTGTCCTTCCGTTCCTGTTTCTTTCTCGTTCGTTCGAGTCTACCCTCGTCCAGCCGTGGAAATCGGGTTAATGCCCGTCGTGGACAATGACCACGATTTCGTCCAATGAAAGCGTTCACGGCCGATTTTCCTTCCGGCGCGGAGGAGCGCTTTTTATCGATACTTCGAATTGGCGAACTGGCAATTGCGAGGAGTGAGTGGTTTCGATGTAATGGACTTTCATGTACAAGGTGTTCACCATCGTCCCGGAATTCTCGTTTCTCAATTCTTGTAACGAGCTCTTTTATTATCGAATCGGCCGAGTCGTTTATCGTACTATAATATCGTACACTTAGTTTTATCGATGTGTTGTTCAATATTGTTCGTTTTGTTACTGTTTCCAATTTGTATTTAGAGTGTGAATAAAATAAACGAATAAATCGAAGAGATTTAAATAAATTTCTTTATTTCTATCAACCTTTAAGACATTTATCCCATCCTCCAATACGATGGAACATTTTTGAAAGAGGGTTGCAAGCTGACTCGTTTCTATTCTACAGCAATAACTATAAATAAAGATATTAGTGTAATCACGAACGAATCACTCGACGCGGACTTCCCCTCTTCCAAATTTCCCCAGGTTTCTGCATAAATTGCCGAAATATCCATAGAGGCTGTCGAACGTGAGCCACCGCATAGCAGGGGTTCCTTAGACGAGGTAATAAAGATATAAGGTAGCGTTTTATAGGCTGACGCTATAGTTAGGTTGGAAAGCGTTTGGTAAATGCCATTAGCGATGGCTACGAATAATGCTCGAACAGATTTAATTGAAAAACGTTTCCCCCTCTCTCGATTTCCCCGTCTTTAATTGTCCTTCCAATTTTTAAAACTCACATTTCATTAATAAACAAACGATACCTACTCGAAATCGATTTTAATATCTCGTCTCGCTACATCTCGAAAACGTTTCAAAAGTTATCCTCGACTTTTATTTTAGAAACCACGATGCTCGATGTTTTCGAGGGACGACACGAGGTCGATCCATAAATCATTTTTTGATTTCGTAACAACGATATTATCCCGCTCGATTTCGTTCTACGCGGGGAATACTCGTTTCTTTCCCTCCCCCGACTATATCTCAATTTATGAGAACAAGCCGTTGTTAGCGCAACATTCATTCTGGAAAGGAGATGTTGATTTATGCGAAACGCTCCAATGCTCATCTCTGCGTGGTCAAAACGGCTTAATTCCAATGAAATATTGATACACGGAGGGGGGAATCCTTATTTGGATTTCCTTCCTTCGTATACCTAACGACACTGGTCGCGATCAAATTTTAACGAGCTTATTAAAACGAATAAATTCTCGACAGAGATTTTACTCCTACTACTAAGACAAACAAATGTTGGGGGATCGTGTTGAGGAAGTTGGTGTCGATGGCTTTCGAAAAGAAAAAGAAAAATATACGTCAAAGGCGATCGGTATCTTCGTTCACGAGTTATAGGATGGAAAGACACGCGATGACCACGTAACGCCGCCATCCGTGTTGAGGATGTAAATATAGAAGAACTTCATTTTCATCCATCTTGCTTTGTCCCTGTCACGAAGGGGGCGCGTAGATTCAAGCCAGGCATGAAAAATAGACGTTCACCTTTAACGGTACATAATGCTTCGAAACGATGAACAATATTTCCTGCCACGCGGCATCGTTAGAATGAGAATAAATTTCCATTTTGAGCACGACCAACGACA